CCAGTGTCCCCGTCGCGAGACGGACAGAGATCGTATCTCTCGTTGGCACTTCCAGTGCTTCAGCATACAGCTGACTCCCTTCTAGGGTGGAGCGACGGGCGTAGTTGCGCGAGGCTCCCAAATCAATCAAGACTCTCCATGGCTTTGCAAAGCCCTTCACGACCAGCAAGCCCGGCTTGCACACACGCTTCTCGTAAGTGAGCTCAGCTCTCTTCGCGGCTGAGCCCCGTAGCCCTCTACCTCTTCGAGGCACAAAATAACTCAGTTCTTCCCCAGTAGGCCGCCCCGCGCCTACTGGGAATTGCCGTTTCCCGGCGATAACCCGGAGGGCTGGCTCGCCGGAGCCACGCGCTTCTTGCGCAGAGGGCAATAGGCCCTCAAGTGCTTAGTGCAATTGCACACAAAGCATCGGCGGATGCCGGCGCGCTGCTCCGCAGCAAGAAGCTCTGCTTCTTCATCTTCAGCATATCTGAGGTCCATCGGCTCTGGACCGCTCGAAGAGCTTGCGCTACTAGCGCTCCTACCAGGTCGAACCGACCTGGTTGTGCTCGGCATTTAATGCCACATTCATCGCCTCTTCGAAAGCGTTAGGGTGTACACGGACCACTTCCGTTCGAGCTGCGCTCACACGAAGTCCCTCCATGAACACGGTCACGCTGACCAGTTCCAGAAGAGGATCCGCCGCCATTCCGGCGATAAGAGTTCTCAACTCTTGGACATAGTCCAATAAATCCTTCTTACCCTGGCGGGTAGCAAGGAACTTCGACCGGATACGGTACACCTGATTAGGCGGCGCGAACACGCGCGAAAGTTGTTGCTTCAGCTGATCCCAAGTGGAAAATGCAGCGTCAACAGACGTGCCGCACGTTAGTGCCCATTCGCGAGCGCGTTCTCCAAGCCTGGTGATAGCCATCGCCACGCGCTGATGCTCAGACTGGAGCAGGGCCAATCCCATGGCGATCTCGACCTCACGGGTCCCGAGAAGGAGATTCTCTCCATCCTTCCCCTCGAAGGTTTTTACGCTCACCATGAGCGGTTTCAGTCTCATAGACTCTTCACGCGTCATCGACGCCGCCGCCGTTGTCGCGCTCATTTTCTCTTAAACGTGCTCCATGAGCGCGTTCCCGTAGCGGGAGAACGATTCTAGCCTGGCGGTGACCGCCTCTGGACCTTGCGATGCAAGATGAGCCACGCCCTCCGGGCCAAGCAAGGACATAAGCTTAGTAAGCGCGTCCTGCTGCGCAGGGGGCAAATTCGCGAACACCGGGTGTTCCATCCTCGCAGAGGATATAGTCAATCGACCCAGGAGGGGGATTGACTACAAGTGCTACCAAGTGCAGCGGGGCTGCCGTAGCTTTAGCGTCAGAGGAAGACGTTCGACTCAAAGAGTCACTAATATTAAGTTCCTTATCCAAAGGACACTTAAAGCCCAAGACCAGGGCTCAAAGTTAATACCTTAACTTTTATGCTTCAAACCCAGAAGTGTTTTATTTACTATTATTGCGGCCAAGCCGCCTAGGGGTAAATGTATCTGTTTAACTATCTAGCATAGTTAAACCTAATCAAATGCATAACGTGTGGCTTTCAGCCAACGTACTGAGAGACTCTCCAGCTTATGTACTGAGAGTTTGTTAACTCTCCGGGTACCCCGTACCTCTGTGTGTTCCACGCCATGTAACCCCGTTATCCGCAATGCACTGCTAGCTACAGATGCAGCATTGTTTCCAAGCCATGATGTATCATAGCCTCCTTGTCTGGATTGACGACATCCTGCTATTCGCTGGCTCCGCAGCTGAGTACCTCGCTAGCCTGAGGATCTTTTTGGAGGTGCTGGGTGTTAGACGACTGAAGCTGAACGCGAAGAAGTGCGTACTCTTCGACACAAGAGTTGTATGGTGTGGCAAGGTTATTGACGGTCAAGGAGTTCAGCACTCACCAGAGCGCCTGGAAGCATTGACAAGCACAGCTTACTGGCATCACGCTAACATGGCCACCAGAGGAGGAATCAACCTTTCGTGCTGTGATCGACTTGTTGGCCACCTCCGCCAAGCTCTACTTTGCTGACCCTGACACCGTTGTCTGCATGTTCACCGATGCTTCGCTCGGCGGTCGGTCGGTCATACTCAGCCAAATTTGCAACTGGGTTAAAGGTGTGCCAGTCACTGAGCAACTACACGAGCTACTGGTGTGTCAAGGAGAACTATTCACGGGCTCTCAGGTGAATTGGTCGATTGTGGAAGAGGATGCCTATCCAGTGGTTCGTGAGTGCAGTGACATTGCTTATCTTCTTGAGCGTGAGAAAGGTGCTCAGATCTATTGCGACCATGCCAACCTGATCCACATTTTCTCACCTGACAAGACGGTCAGGCCACACTTGTGCGGGATGTTGCAGCGGTGGCCCTGCACATCGTTGGCGTCCGCTATAAAATAGAGCACATCAAAGGCGACGATAATGTGTGGGCCGTCCTCGTGTTGCGGTGGGGCCAGGAAGGAGCGACCCCGGTGCAACCGCCGCAAGCAGTCAAGCGAGTCGCACTGCCGGTGAGAGACGATGATGGAGACTCGATGCCTTGCAACAAGGCCTCTGCGTGGTCGTTTGACACCGATTACATTGCGGCTGGATACTGGCAGATCCCCCTTCCGGAAGAGTGGGTGAGTAAGCTAGCACTAACCAAGAGGGTGACAACTCCAGCACGCAGCCGGACTCGGCATTTCGCCCGCTACAGGACAAGAACTTTACGTGGCCAGGGGTTGACGCAGTCCGAGATGCGCAGCACCGCTACCGTGCTGACGCTCCGGTACCTGCCGGCGACGATCGGGCTGTCCGTGTCGATGGCAAGCTGTGGATCCCTAAGCAAGCCCGCGAGCTGGTGCAACGTCTACTAGTGGTTGCCCATTGTGGCCCTCAAGGACACCGAGGCAGCGACGTCATGCACACGGCACTTGCGGAGCGCTTTGCTATTGCAAATGCGAAGCCAATCATTGATCGGTTTCTGCGAAAGTGCTTGCTCTGCAAGCATGTCAAAGGCGGAAAGATCGTGATGAGTCCGTGGGGGCCTACGTCTACAGCAGTGAAGCGCAACGAGTGCCTTCATATGGACCGCCTGCAGCTAGGGGAATCCTACTGTGTGAGTCGCTACGTACTCGTGCTCAAGGATGAGCTTACGCATTACTGTGAGTTGATCACTGCCGATGTAGCAGATAGTGGAACTGCAGTGCATGCTGTGCTTGACTGGCACAAGCGGTTCGGATTGCCTGAAATATGGGCATCCGACAATGGATCCCACTTTAAAGCAGCAGTGATGGAGGAACTTGCTGAGCGCTTGCAAGCGACACAGCGGTTCGTGCCGGTGTACACACGATGGACCAACGGTACTGTCGAGCGTGTGAATAGAGACATCCGGTACGTATTGCGTGTGATGCTCATGGAACTCAAGTTGGACACCCGCAATTGGGTCCACCTCCTACCTGTGATCCAAGCCAATCTCAACCACTCGGCGGTGGCATCCTTGGGTGGACATGCCCCTATTGAGCTGTTTACCGATTTACCGGCGCCGTCCCTACTCGACACCGTGTCGGTTCCCACCGGCGACTCCTATCGCTTGTTGCCGGTTAACGTGTTCGCGGCTACGCCGCACCTAGACAAGCTGCGCGAGCATTTGCATGAGTTGCACTGTAATGTTGTCGAGCGCAACGAGCACCGCCGCTTGCAGAAAATATCGCGTACCAAGGGAACAGAATGCAACTTTGAAGAGGGTGATGGTCGCGCGTTGATAACCGCATGACTGGTAACAAGCTCCTGCTTCGTTGCGTCGGGCCGTTCCGAGTAGTTCGTGCCCTCTCACATTCATTTATTGTGGCTCACATGCTCACCGATGACGAGTTCAAGGTGCACGGATCACGCCTCAAGCACTACTGCGACGCCGATCTCGGCACCACGGCCGAGATTCGCGAACATGTGGCAACCCAAGGTATTGTGCTCGGTGTGCGAGCTATTGTGAACCACCGCTATGACAGCACGGCCAAGGCGTGGCAGCTTTACGTGGCATGGCGTGGACTCGAAGAAGTGGAAAACTCGTGGGGACCATTTGCCGCTATCTATCGCGATATCCCTAAGCTGGTTCAACGATACCTGCCATGCTGTAACTCTGAAGTCTGCGACTTCAACGTCAAGATTAATATGTGAGACGGGGCGTTTGGTAATTGTCTTGTGTACGAAGACAGGGGTCAAGTTTCCGATTTTCAAGTTTAATTTCTCAGTTTCATTTTCAAGTTTTATTTTCGAGACCAAGATTTCATTTTCAAGTTACAAGTTTGGCTGTGTTGAGCGGCGATGGCGCCGCTTGTACCAGACGACACCGCGGCGACAGACACCGACGCAGCAGGACAACTGTCCGGTCTCTGGTAGACCGGGTTCTTACCGGTATCCTCCAGTGGGGTTCAGAAGCGGGCAGTACTGGCGTAACGCAGGGGCGATGAGGAACGCGTCCCTTCGAGCGGCGATGGAGGACGCAGCAGCGGCGCTGGACGGTGGCACGAGCCGGTACGATTGACTGGTCGAAGGCATGCAGCAGTGGCAGCCATTGGCGGACCGGTGGCTCGCAGGACGAAGGCGCTGGAGCTGAGGCTGTGGTCTCGGGCGTTGCCGATTAGGAACAACGTTGAAACTCTAACTCTAATCTCACTTCACATTTTGCCTTTTAGGCCCGTTGTTAGCAAATCTCACTAGTGGACAGACTTCCTAAGTGGATAGAGCTTTTTCTCCACGAGGTTGGTTGTCAACGATATATACAGAAGTGGACGCCTTGGTGGATAATGCCAGTTCAAACCGAGGCGGGATGGTTGACATCTATAAAATAAGTTTCTTTTTACTAAAATTAGTTGTCTTGCACACAACTTCAAAAAGACCTACGACCTTACTAAGCATGTAGACGACCTCCGCAGATGATGTTGCTATCGTTCTTCGTGTCCGCCAACAGTCACAAGCACGACTCGCACTGCTACTGTGCCTTCTGTTGAGGCGTTCCCGTGGAACCCGATACTCTCGCCGTCGTGTGGACCCAGATGAGGAAACTGCTAGTCTCCTCGGAGAGAACATGTTTGAGAGAACGTTTAGAATGTCTCTCACCAGTTTCATGCTGTTGTTGAACTTGCTTACGCCACACCCTCAAGTTAACGAGCGTCAATCGTCTAACTCTAGTGTCGAGGGTTCGATTTCCCCGTGTGTAATGCTTATGGCTACACTACGGTATATAGCTGGAGGATCTTACCTGGATATTTGACGGACTGTTGGCATTCACTGGCGCCCTTTTTACCGCGTCGTGGACACTACAATGTCCGCCATTCTTTTCCTGCGAGAGCTACACATTAAATAAGTTTTTTATCTTATCAACTAAATCTTTTTTCTTTTGCCGGACGACAGATATATCATTTTCGACGTCGCTGATCTCTTCTTCGGTGTATACCCCAGTTGATGCACGAACCATTCGTTCCCGCAACTGTAACAGCGTGCTATAGGTCGCCACGAGCTGAGATAATCGACAGTCTGCTGCCAATGCATCCGAATCGGAACGCCCTTTGTCTAGGGAGGAAAGAACCTGCTCGATTATATCCCCCTTTGACTGTCTTTTTCCAAGCTTGCTGCGGGTACATTGCTTCTTTCTGGACGTCGACGCATCAGACTCGCTATCATCCACATCAACGTCACTGGGGAGCGCTCTCATAGTGTTTAGTCTGGCACGCTTCGGAAGTTTTCCGGTCACTGATGCCAGCAGCCCTTGCTTATCACGTAGGATCTCGTGCATGTAGAGAACGTCAATTTTTTCAGAACAGAAAGAGAAAAACTGATTCTCATTGTTGCCAGACTGTTTTGAATTTGTGAGGGCAGTATTGTAGCGAGAGCTCACATCCTTCCACATTTCACGCAGCTTCCCGACATCATGATGAATAATTTTCCCGGGATTACATTTACAGAAAGTCACCAACGCAGAGTCGAGCTTGGCATATTCCGGACGTGGACTGAGAAATTCTTCATGAATTTGTACCCAAACGGAAGAGCTTGCTTGTGTTTGACTCGTGTCGAGTTCAGCACGTGTAGGTCGTTGGTCCAACTCAGGTAAGCGATGAGCGAAACGATCCGAAAACATACATTGAGTAGACGCGGAATGCAGTGTCTACATTTCCGCTTGGGCACGGCTCCTATCACAGCCATTGGTGGCCTACCTTCTACATGTAGCTGCTGCATTTCTGCATACGCTCGCTTGAGCTTCATGAGTAGCGCCACGTAGCCCAACTTGTTGTCATTGCATTCAGCGCCTGACTTGACGATGCGAAGCTGGCGGCAGTAGCAAGCTGTTCTCAGCTGCTTGGCTCCAAACGCCAACAGTCACGTTTCCGTATCCTCAATACTTTGCGACTCATCGTAGAGGAGCTCGTCAATGCACAGCAGGGGATTTAGACTTTTTTTTCTTCCTTTTCCGCCCTTGGATCTCGGACACGCATGTTGTTTCGCTGCAAACGCCTTGGGTTGCCTCGAAAGTGGCGTTAGAAGCCTGGACCATATTCGAAGTTGTAGCCAACGTTTAGGACAGGGATGATTATAATAGCGGAGGCGAAAAGTAAGAAATGACCCTTACTATTCCATGCCATAACAACCGACAATCCTTCGGTCTAATCCCGTCTTCTTTCCGTATGGGAGATTCCACCAGTGGGGGAGGTCTCCCCTTCCGTCCACCAAAGAATTCCCCCGTCCGCTGGCGTTTGAAAAACCGGGGTGGGACGGGGGATCTGATTCCCAAGTTAATGGCGTTCACTTTACAAATCTCTGATTTGGGCCACTATTGACAAATCCACTAAAATTAGCGTGGCTAACAACGGGCCTTAGAGCTCACTTTTTGCCATACATATATGGACAAGCGCAGCAGTGCGCCAATGCATAATGAAGTCAGACAAAGTGGGTATCAGCTTGAAAAGGTGACCAAATCCGCTTAAGAAGAATGTTAGAGCTTTGAGGCAAACAGTGTTAACGATTTTAATCTTACTTGTCATTTTCTCTTATAAGTGTGTGGTCGTGATCATACGGACCAAATGGCATCTTTTAAAAGGGTACTGAGCACAAGTACTACGTTGTTTCTGCTGCACTAGCGTTGGTGCAAGATGACACAGCCACTCACGCCAATCGTTGAGGGGATACCTAAGCGTTGGGGTGAACAGGACTGGGCGACCTACATATGAACAAAGAGCGCTGTTTTTTGGGAGGGAAAGGCTCAAGAACGTTATGGAAGGGATGATGACCACCAGCTCGATGCTTTCAATTTGCCGGATGTGAAGAAGAGTCCGACCTTAGCCAGATAAAGATCACCCGCATGGTAGAATAGCCTCAAAACTGAATCCTCGGCAACTTGGCTAGTCGAAATTGAGCTGACGGGGTATTGAAGTTTTTGTGCAAGCGCGGGCCAGTCAGTCTGTCTCTTGAGAATAGGCTTGAACAGCTACATCCACTCATCATTCTGTATCAGCGCCTATACGCGGTCGAAAATGCGCTTGGCGACTGGTGTATCACCGTTGATAGGTGGGCGAGGTGCCTTCGGCAATGCTGAACGCTTTGCACTCGCCACCGAGGGGTTAGAACCTCCGGTCCCACCGTCATATTCTTCGTAGACCGGTTCCGGTCCCGCAACGCCATCTAGCTCGTCGGCAACGTTCCTCGAAAGGGACCTGGTCGCCCCGCTCAGCCCCGATGATAGCCTGGCCGTCTCCGGTGTCGTTGCACCTGGCTCTGGAGCCGGCGTCTTATCTTCGTAATCGTCGTAATCATGGACGTCCGGACCGATGTCCGCCTCATCCTCGAAACTCACCGAAAGCTCGACGGCTGTTCTAAAGCGTGCAACCGTCACGTCCGGACTTGAACTCTCGCTGCGAGCTCCGCCAGACTTGGCAGGAGTAGCTGGTACCGTCGATTGTGCTTTCGCCATTTTTCTTGTTTTCTTTTTCTTGTTCTTCTTCTCCTCGTGGTAGCTCGTAAACTTGAAGGCCATACAAACAGTTCACAACGGTCACACGCTGTTCCCGTGTCGCGGCATCAGTTGTGGTGTTGGAAATCCCACGTGAACTCTAGCTACAAATGTAGTTAGGAAGCTCCCACAACAATACATCTGCTAGGATAACAAACGATCGTTCGGGCGGACCTGAAACCCCAGTTCTGCCCTTGCACCGGGACAGACTGGACCTTGTAAATTACTTGTATAGACCAACCAATGAGAACACGCTACTAGCACGAGCAAAGCTAATAGGTGTTATAAATCCTCGTGATCCCAACAGCGGAAGGGTACCAGGCACGGGTAAGCCTTTTACGAGGGCACCGAGGGTTCAACACTTGGTTGGAAGAATAAAGGGATGCAATTCAAGCACTCCCAGACGTGCAAATAGGCAACAATGAACCGTCACGTAAAACCTCCCGATAGTAATCGGCCAAAACACACAGTCTCTTGGCCTTGCCGGATGAACCCTCGCTACAGAGCTTCGAGTTCACCGACAGGCATAACACACTCAAACAAGCTTGACCAGACGCTTACCTTGAAGCCGGACGTCGCTCTGTGTGCTTGAATAAAACGTCTGTTCTGTATTTATGTTTACCCTTTCGGGTCTATTCCTAATAAGAAGTCCTAATCAAGTATACAAATATCAAGCGAACAATGATCCGTTATGGATCTTCTTGCACGCCAAGCGTCGTCTGCACCGTCGCATGAGTATCTTTAACAGCTCGCACTTTTCCCAGACGGTGACCGCGCCTTCAAAGGGTCGCGGAGCCTTCCGCAAACGCATTCCAACCGCCACCGAGGGTTTGTATCGTAGATGGTAAGTTATTGGCCGCTGAATGCGAATCCGGCTAGTCCATTATTAATAATAAGAACAGCCTGGATTAATTGGCATCTGAACCGTATCCAACATCCGCTCAGTGTTCGGTAGTGACACCGTCGAGTCTCTTGCACCTTGGAGTCACCGTACATTAGGTGACCGAGTCTTCATAGCTTAAACAACTTGAAGGCGATCAGGTCTCTTTCTGCCGACAATTATGGAGAAATCACTACACCGCGTTGGTAAGTTGGATCCAGCAATCTCGCCGATTTTGCTGATCCCATTACACCACAATGGTGCGCGGGCCTGGATCTTTTGGTGACTCAGAATTTCACCGTGGGTTCCCAAGAATATGTTCAAGGTGAGATTTGAGCTTAGGGGAAGAGGCGTCATCGGAAGGTCGGATAGGATGGATGACCTCCTGTAAAATGAAACCAAGGGTCC